ACTAAAAACTTCTTCTTTTCAAAGTTACTTTTATTCCTTTTTATCCATTATACTCTTGATTATATAGACAACCTATAATTTTCTATATAAGTGGTGTTGCTAACTACGTGTTATATAGTTCGTGACTATAATTTAGACTTTGTGCACTTAGTTGCAACCTTAATAAGAACATTCGCTTATTACTATTACTTACTTCTAAAAAAAGGACTCTACTTTTCTATAATCTTCCACAAAATTATTTAAATCTCTAAATAAATATTAAGCTATTAAATTAAAAGTATTTATCTATGTCAGAACACAGAAATCCTTCAACATTTAAATAGTTTTAGCTTAACTTTGATGGTAACCATCTATGTATTATCCTTGGACAATATCTTTGTTTGTCCACCTCAAGCTTTTCCCTAATTAATATTCAATTTTTAAAAATACCAACCAGAACCCTTCACCTTATTCCAATGCGATCGCGCGACATGATTTTGATTTCAGTGTGAGATTTTCTCGTCCAGTGAAAACAGTTGACTTTGATTGCCGTTTGGACAACGCGTCGTATGATTGTTTTTAGCTTCGCTCCGCAAAGAAGGGTGTGCCGGGCAGAGCCAAATTGATTTGTGCACGTGCACGGTCAACTAATGAGGCACGGACGGAACCCAATGCTCCGGCATGATGGAAAAGGCCCTGGTATCCTTGCATCCTGACATCCTCGAATGCGGGCAGTCTGGCTTACTGAAATGCTTCGGAATCGCCGCTGACATTCTGCATTTTTCCCCCTGAACCGAAGCAATACTCCGGTTGCAAGTGACAGGTGGAGAGCGGGGTGGGTGCAAGTCCTGGTTGGCAGGATACATGCTGGACAGCAGCCAGGTCATTGCGGTTGCCATGTTCACTTAATTAACAACATTACAGCATTAACACACACACACACACTTCCGAGCCAAACTCATTACTAGCCAGAGTTGCATTAAAGTTTTATAATAAATCTAATGGTCGACAAGGACGCACAACTGTAATTTTGTTTGTTTACTCAACTGACAGACAGGGGCGTCCGGGGCTGGCTTGCTGGCTCGCCTTTGCCTTTGTCTTTGTCTTTGTCTTTGCAATGTGTGACACATCGTCTAATGGTGCATTCGTGCATATGAAATTGCTGTCAACAAAGGGCGGCCACAGCTCCCACAGCCCTGGAGTCCTGTGTCCTGTGTCCCAACGCCCGACTTCCTGCAACCGCAGGATGTGCTGCCCTAATGGGTTTGCCCGGCCAACCCAACCCGACACAGGAAGCAATTCCTTGGCCTTAGTTATGGCAATCACGAGGTGACACATTTACTCGCTCCTCCCGACCCGTGTGTCACGGCCTCCGAGTGCTTGGGGAAATCAGCGGCAAATCGAAAACTGAAAACGAAACGAGAGCAAAATGAGCTCTGTGCGTTGCGAAGAGTGCCAGTCAAAACGATTGATAAGCGACCGGGCAGACATTCGGTCCCAAGGCCACCCACCGCTGCCACCTGGAGGCGGGTGTTGGGCGGTCGACGCGGCTGATTACGCACCTGGGACCGCTTCACGTGGATATGTGTGGATGCCGCCAAATGAAATCAATGTCTCTGCTGACATTTTTAATTTTCTGTGAACTACAAACTACTACATTTTTGTACTCTTAAACATAAAAAGTTTCCAAATACTATCGAATATAATTTGTAGTTTGGAATACTAAACGATGCAGCTATCCTTCCAGAGAAGAGATGGCAAAAATCCACTCTTTCAGGATTACAAAAACAAACCACATTACGATTAGTAGATCAATGTCTTTGGAGTCTGCAATCTAGATTGTAGCTTTGGCTATCAAATATTTTAAGGAAATCCCAACAAGCCTTGAGTTTTACTTCGCACTGAAACGTATATAAGCTAGGCTACCGGAAGCCAAACTGCCAGTCGTTGCCCTAGCTTCATCGGATTCTGACCAGTGTGTATATAATTTACTTTTGGTTTTTTTTTTTCTTATTGAAGCATTAATTTATATTTTATAGTTTTCCCTTGGTTCATTGAGAAAATTTCATAAGAAACGAAGAACTACGAGAATGGATTCAGGCTACTACCATGGCAACCTCGGTTCTCAAGGTGAAGAGGTTAAAGCCAAACTAAGCAATAGACGGCGTCGTCAGAGGGAACGTCGCTCCCAGAAGTCAAAGTCCAAGGCCGGTCAGGAATTGGATCAGCAGCAAAATAGTGAGGAATTCGAAAAGGATAAGTTTCCAGACCCATCTGCAAGTGGTATTGAATATGGGCAGGCTCCAGGAGAGGCGCATTCCAATGAAACCTTTAATTGATACTTATTCTTCTCCACACATCCCGTTTAAAAGATGTCCTGAATACTTCACTAGACTTTAATGTATTTCCGGTCCACTTTAAGCATGTCCAGCTAAAGAAGTTACCTACCAAACTGAACGATAAATAAAACAAATTAAAAATGAATATTTTATGGAGGCAAATGTGTGAAACGTAGCCGCTCGGACGGACCTTCCCAATAGGTTTAACCCCAAAACCGAGGGCCCTAAAGGGCGGCTAGAGAGATTTACAAATTGGCCAAGATTTATAGTGTTAGCCACAGCGTTTTCGGCCACAAGCGGGCCTCGGTGCGTGCGGGCTGAAAGTTTTCACAGCTCGTTGGGAGATGGAAATTAACGCCGGGCAGCCGCAACAACAACAGCAGCAGCAGCAGGATATGTCTGGACTACAGTCTGCTTTGGTTTTATTTTTTTCGACACAGAAGCACCTGGGCACCCGCATTGTGGTGTCTGCCACACGGCGCGACGGCTTGCCGACTAATCTGTTAATTTATGCCGAAAAGTTCAGGGAAGTTTTCGAAGCGCTTAGCAAACAAATTGCAATAAATTATTAAGAATATTTGCACACAACACACACACACAGGGGCTAGGTTGTCTGTTCACAGTTTTTGTGCATTTCATTAATTTATGTCTCGTTGCCGCCTGCCAAAAACTTCTCGCCACTTGTGTGTGGGCCATTGTGGGGATAATTTGATTTCGCCATAGAACAACTTTACACTGCCAGAAGGCAAAATTCACACGCAAAGATAAACATGGATCCACAGTATCCCTTATCCCCCCGTATCCTATCCCGGCATCCCTGGGCCTTTATCCCAGCCATGGTCCAAAGTGGCCAACGAAAAGTTAAAATGTTCTTATGCATAAGTGATGCGCTGACGCCTCAACGTTCTCCTCATCGGCGTCGTCGTGCTTGTCCTTTTTTTCCTTTCGGCTGGCGACAAAGTCCTCACGAAGTGCCCGCATTGCAGTTGTTTCCGCTTTGTTCCGTTTCCCTGCCTGCCCTGCGACATGAAAACTTAATGACGTAATTAACTGTTTGCGTTTGCGCTTCGTGAACATCGCGCGAAATGGCCGAAAAATGAAGTCGCGTATACGCCCCATGCGCCGCATGTGCGTCTCATATTGCGTATACGACCCGTTGCTCGAATAAAATCTTAATATGGCCATATTCGTAATGAATTGGACAGCTGGTAATGGATTATGGTGTCATAAGATCATAATTTCTCTAGATTATGCCGATATGGCATTTGTGTGTCTAAGAAAAAAAAGGGAAGTTGTTAGAGGCCAGGCAGATTCTTGCAGACCACTTCTCTAGATATGTAAAAAATACCAATGGAGGAGGCAATAATCTAAAAAGTTGAACGTTTTTTAAACTGAGAAGCTTAACTGAAAAGAAAGGATCCAACTTCAATAAGGAAAGCCCCAAGGTAAAGATCCTTCCAAGAGGGTTAAGGCCTAGGATGTAAGCTCCTCGCGTGACCCACTCTTGATGTCCTGCAACCGACGGTATTCAAGAGCAACTTACAGCGCGAACGTGTCACTTTATCAGTCACAAATCTGGCAAATGGTGTGACAAGGATTTCCGCCAAAAGCGGAACAAAACAAATAGAGCAAAACGAGCCATGGCGATGGATGTCTGGCATTTTGACTGCCTGCCCCGAAACAGGAAATGGCTGTAAAAACATTTGACTTCCAGCTCGAATTTCCACCCATGCGAATTAACTTTGATGACTTGGCGCAAAAAGCAGTTACCGGGCGGCGCGCGATTCCATTTCCGCCGCTTAACGTCATTAAAAACGCTGAAATTGAAATTTCGGCCAAAGTACTAAGCTCGAAAAACCAGCTCGAGGCGGCAAAACACAAACAAATATAAATGAAAACCTTGGCTTGCTGCAGGAAACTGTACAGGATTCGACAATCTCTAAATTGGATGCCTCGCAAAATGGAATTGTCAACTGCAATTAGCGCGCTTAATGCATCTTTCGTTTTGCGAAAATTGACAGCTGCCAGACAGCGCGTCCTTCTTGGCTGTCAGTCCGCCAGATTCTTATCCGCCTGCTGCATGTCATCCTATCGGCCCGTTTAAGCCACGCATCCTGAAGGACTGTAAGGCAAGGACAGGGCACTCAGACATGCATTCGCCGCTCACAGAGCCCACAGAGCCCACACAGCCCACACAGCCCACATAGCCCCTTCAAGTTGCACATTTAAAGACTGCGGCGACTCGAGTGCCCTTCTGACTACTGATGGCTCTTAACCTAACGCACCTGCACAAACCACCTGCCACCGCACTTGGCTAAATGCGGCACACAAATGGCAGCAAGCCGTTTATACCTTCCACCGCCGCCTCCGCCTGCAAATTAAATAAACCTCAAAGATTATAAACTTATGGCCAAAGTGGGGCATAAAACTACAACTTCCGGACGGTGGCCAACGTTTATATATTTATGCAAATTAAATAGCTATTTTACGTGGGTGAATTTTACTATTATATAAAGAAATAAACAATTCTTTAAAGAATTGAACTATTATTTAAAGTGTTCAACTATTATTTTAAGAATGTAACAACTATTCCAAGAAATTATCTTATATTTATAGATTAAAGATTATTTTCAACCATATCAATTAATATATAGACTTGATTATTCTATAAAAACAACTCAATTACTTTAAGTATTACATTAAAAGATATTTATTCAGCTTCAGTCTGAGGTAATTAAGCAGCTACTATTAACAACTAATAAGCATTTTAATTAAATGCCATTGACAGATATTACTTGGCCTGACAGCACTTGGCTCCTCCCGTCTTGGCGGCACATTGGCATTGGCTGTTTCCGGCGCAGTTTCCGCCGCATTTGCCGGCCTGGCACTGGCAGTCTGTGGAAAAAGGATACTCTGTATTAGCATTATGTTTTATTTTATGAATTTCCGTTTCACTTACTGTTTCCGCATCCCTTGCAAGGCATCTTTATTGGCTTTTGTGGTTGGTTTTTGTTGAAAAGAAACTGCTAGTAAAGCTTAAAGACTTTTGTGATGACTTCTGGGCTGTGGAACTGGCCTCTTTATACCCAATTCTGATCCGTCAAAACTATGGGTCGTGCTGGTTCTGCTGATAAGATAAGAAACGCCGTGTGCAGTTGCGCCCGACTGGCGTGCGCAAAATCATTGAGCCTCATGCGATAACGTAAAAAATTGCGCACGCCCTGATAAGAGATTAAAAATCGCGTTCGATGTATGTATTCCCCCCATTGGTGGTGTGCAAAGCAGCATTGGAAATGGTATAAGAGGGCTTGGTCCCCCTAGTTGTCATCATCAAACAGCGTTTGCTAGCAACAAAGTTCAGTTAAAATTTAAATCTTCAAAGAAAATAAACTACAAAACTAAGATGGGTTGCAAGGCTTGTGGAACCAGTGAGTATAAAATCGAAAATCCTTTAAAACATAGGTCCTTATTAGGTAATAAACTCCTTAGACTGCCAGTGCTCGGCCACCAAGTGTGGCGACAACTGTGCCTGCAGCCAGCAGTGCCAGTGCTCCTGCAAGAATGGACCCAAGGACAAGTGCTGTGCCAACAAGAACTAGGATTGGATATCATCAGACAATAATATCACGCCTAATATCAATATCATCCCTAAAATATCATAAACCTTCTAATATCCTAATTATAAATATATAAATATAATGCACTTAACTTAAAAACTTACAAAATGTTTTTTATTTACATTAGTTTGCCTTGTGTCCAATTGAATTGCTTTGATATATCAAAAATAATGATTTACTGATCATTAATGGAAAACATTACAATAACGATTTATATATCGAATTTCCACATATAATTATTTTCCTATATCCTTATCAAGGACTAAACTCAAGGCAAGCGATTTCTAACCAACCAAAAATAAATACACAGCTTGCTTATTATTTTTTAAAATAAATTTTTTTATTGGCCATTTTGACAAGAATAGTTCTTTAGTTATTTCCCACTTGAGTTTTCAAAATTGCAGCACACCCAATATAGCGTTTGAAATTACATTTAAAACACTTACACAATGTACACAATTAGTGTTCGTTAAAGGACTACGCAATGTTGTGATCACGTCATGCAAATACAATCACAATTCGCCAGTAACAACATTGTTTGGTGTCTGTTTTTATCAGTATTTATCAGTGTGGGAATGTTTGTAACTGTGCGCGAGTTTTTCATAATTTAAAACATCAATAAAAACTTTACGTCCACAAATTTACATTAAGTTTTTCCAATCGAACTGTTTTTTTTTTGTTTCTCTTACAAAACTCGCATCAAAATTGTTTTTTTTTAATGAATTTATTTTGGGTCTGTACTTAAGTCTTATAAAATTCTTAAGGTTCACATACAAAGCTTAGAGTGTAGTGTTGTGTGTTGTTAACATAAAGTATTATATTTACGCTTTCTATGTAGTGTAATAATCGTCGTGTGTCTCTGATAACTGACTAAAAAGGCAATTGGCATGATTGGTGCATTTAAAATGCATTCCAAACAGCGCCCTGACTCGAAAACAAATAGTTTAAATTCACGTTATAGGAGAAAAAAAATATACATAAATGGATTTCTTAAAACTTTTTGCGCATTTTCAGCATTGGAAGCCAATTTAGGATGGGGGGAGTGGGTTGTGTGTTCTTCACATAAAGCAATTCACAATGTTACTTATAAACTATAAACTAAAATAAACGCAATTAATCTCTGCGTGTGGCTATATCATCGTATTGATTCCTTCTCTCTTCTCGTCGTCGTTTAACTTAGGCTTAGCACGCGAAGGTAGTTTGTATTTCAAAATATGATTAATCGTTTAAAATTAAAATCAAAATCAAAAATTTAGATTCAACAAATAGTTACACACTAACTAAACCGATTCATCGTCTAAAAGTAATGCTTTCTCACTACTGGTTAGTGGTACAAAAAATCAAAGTATACAGATATATAGATATATATAGATGGTACATATATATATAAAAATATAAAACGAATAACATGCGGACACATTCCAAAGAGTTTATACAAAACATAAAGTACTAAATTCTGCTCAAGTCAGACCAGGTCCAAGCACACTCATAGTCTCGATATAGTCAGTGTTCTGGGTGGTGTTTTGTGTGTTGCATGCATTGCTCTAGTAGATCGTATTGTTGTTGTTGTTGTTATAGTTGTTTGGCGTTTCACAAAAGCTGGAAGGATAAAGTTGAACAGTTAAGTCAAGCCGATCAAATCGTATTGTTTTAGTAGTCGCTTAGTTAGTTTGTATTAGGTACACGATTAACATTTATAATCTGTTTCAAAAATAGTTTCCGCCACACATAAAAGTTCTCTTTGTGTAAATATTTGTATATGTATACTGCTTGTAAATTCGTAATTTCATTCAGTTTCTCATTCCCTGTCACGCAGTTCCAATCCCTCGTCTATCTAGTCTTACAATGCTAAACGGATCCTTGACCTGTGAAACCAACGACGGCAAGCCCGGTTTTATCTCAAAATTCTCATTCTACCTGTGTGTATAAAGAGTGTATATTAAATAGCATAAAACGACGATTAAACGTTCAAAACAACAATTTTTAACACTTAAAACTGGACACCCAAGAACATTTAATATTTTAAGCATAATAAAATCATCATGATGTCATAATAGTTTCCCTAACATTTTCGGTTCACTAAATAGTTAATATATATTAAGCTACAACTCGCTTTTCGATGTCTATATGTGCAGTGTATATCTCGGTGCATATACAAGGAGTTTAGTGCGTGTGTGTTATTGATCGTTATTAATCAATATACTGTGAAAATACATACCAAACAAAACCTGCCTCTACGATGCATTCCAAATTCTAATAATTACATCTAGATAACATAAAATAATAATTTCGAATAGCACAAATGAGTCACGACGCGCCGCCAGATCACGGCGGTGTGTTCCAATCGTTGTTTACGATCCACTTCCATGATAGCGGTGCCAACACACCTTCTTCAGGTTTCGTTTCTATATAGTTTATAGTAAGTTTAGTTATATACCTCAAAGTTCGTCATTGAATCGAAGTCCGCCATCCCAAAGTCGCCACTGGAATACGTTTCCAAACACACATGGAATAAACGGGGGTAAAAAATTGAAAAAGAAAAGACATTAATAAATAATAATTGAAAATAAAGGTAAACTCATGCGGGAGATGAGTTCAAGAGGTTAGCGGAAGGGAAAAAGGATCATAGAAAGGAGAGAAATGAGAAATGACAGAGAAATGAAGGTATTTTTGTTTGGTTTTGACTTATTATGACGCAAAGCCTTTAATGAAAGCCAGCTGCAGTGACCGGGTTCGGTTCCCTTAATTTTAAATATATAGTTTTTGCAACAACACTAACATCAAATCGAGTGAGAAATCACAATTAAAATGGAAGATACAACGGCAACGAACATGCAAACAAACAAGCCTCAAAAAGGTCATGCAGATAAATTATTAACTCTAATTTGGTAAACGTTGCGACAACTTTTAAGCAAGAGTTTAATATGTTATTCGTTTTTTTATCTTTTTTTTTCAGCCTAATTCGGTTGCTTGGCTAGCTGAGATCTAGGATCAGCTTGGTATCAGATTTATAGGTGCATGATGGTGCTATTCTGCAAGCTGCGTTCGAAGCGAAATAAATAGAAGAGGAAAATGGTAAGCGGTTAGAAAGATCACATTTTACAGTTTGCTAAATTTTGGATTTGATTTTGATTTATTCAGGTGTAAACGTAAATCTTCTGAAAGCTGAAAAGTTTAAAAAGATGGCAATACTTTGAACAAGACAATAAAAACTATAACAATAAATAATACAAAAAAGACCCACTTAACGCAAACAAATAATATTGTAATTGGTGTTATACGGCAACCGATTATGACTAAAGTTAGTAACCTGCTTAAAGGAGAACCCAATTGAAACCGATGATAACCCGGGACATGGCCGGCTGATGGACATGAATATGAAAGATGACCATTGGGATAAAAAAGGGAGGCGGATGAGAGAGCGCTGTTACGGCTGTTACGGCGGCGGCGGAGGCTGTGCAACGAGCGAATGGATGGACCAGCGAACGGAGGGAACAATGGTCGTGGTCTGGTTGGAGTGATTTCGAGATGCTGAACATAATTAAATTGTTGTTATACCTCTCGGTAAGTGACAAAACCAAAGCAACAGTCTCAATGCACTGCGGCTCATTAGGAGCTCGTCAATATGGGGGAGCACATCATTAGGGTATCACTGATCGCCCTCACTGCAGGATCGTTGGGATTGGCCACCTGCACGAATCTTTCAAGTTCCCCTGACAGCGAATAGTCATCGGAATCTGATTCCTCAATACTGAACCATCACCCAAAAATGACCAACAAGTCGCAGAAGAAGGTGGACGATAAATGAAAATAAACAAAGAACACATAGGTGATAAGTATTCTGTTCGACCAGAAATAAGTAGAGTCAAGTTGAGATCGGGGAGAGCTAGCTCTCGCTTTCCTCTCATCCAGTGCTTCCAACAAAATTTTATTAGTTTTATTAGCCTAAATTTTGGGTTAGTCTCAGGCACAACAAAGGTTTTCCATTATTCGTTTTCAGGTGGTTCAAAGTCCTTTTGTGTTCGAATTCAAAGTATTGCAATCTGGTTAAACTTTTGTGTTTTCTTTTTTTCTTTTTGTCAAAATCATAAGCAAAATAACGCAAAGTAAGGCAATTATAAGCGGAAATAGATCAAGGCGGATCATAATCGGCTGATTTGATCATCCCTCGGGCCAAGGATTAGCTCTCTACTCAGGCACTCGAGCTTAATCATAATCTTTTATTAGTTAGCCAATTCAATCATTGCTAGATTTGGTGTAGAATGAACCTAGACATGCGAAACTTACTTTCCCATCTGCATGCCATCATGCGTCGATACGTGTCGCGGTGTTCCGCTGATGGACCCGTTGTCGCCGTTGCTATTACAAACCTGGACGTGCAGGGTGGTCTTCTTGTAGCCGGGCGAGGGTTCTGCACAGCGGGAATTTGGTTCTGATTAGGAAGTGTTTTGGATCGTATAGGGCCTCATTGTATACTTACCCTGACGCTTTGAGAAGAATTCGCCGAAAGCGGTGTCACGCTCTACGCAGAGCGCATTGCGATCGCTGGGATATAGCCAGCGCAGCACATCAAGATCACGAATGCGATCGGCCAGGTTAAGCACCTGGAAGTCACGGGCAGTCCAAGGTGCCAGCATGGTGACCATTCCAGTATCGTTGACATAGGCAATGGTGACTCCTCCTGCGATATTTAATAGAAATTAATATATTTTTTCTTTTAAACAGGTTGAATCCCCAAGGAAGCGGTTTATACGCACCAAGCTCGCTGTCGGAGAAGCGGAGCAGGAAAGTGCCGATGCCAGAGGGTGAACGCAGCAGATCATCTTGCGCCTTGGCCTTGTTGATGAAGCCCATGATGCAGCCGGCCTTCCACATGTTCAACATGTGATCTTTGGTGAGTTTCATAATGGCAAAGAACCATTCCCAAAAGGTGAAGGATCGATCGGGCATGGGCTCCTTGCAGAACTGGTTCCACGTAATATATTCAGAGCGCTCCTCACGCTGGAGTTTCTCGTCTGCAAAAGGAAATCAGAACCGATTAGAATTCGTCCGCTGATACATATGATAGAACTTACAAATGAAGTCCAGGTTGTCGATGGTCAGGGAGCGCTGTGTGCTCGATGCAAATTTGGTGTTCAGCGCCACAGAAAGCTGAGCCCAGCTGACACGATCGGTGATCATAAAGGGATCGCGGACAATCTCTGCGAAAGCATTGTCCCATGTGATTGTGGCCCATGACTGAGGCTCCTGGTTGCCGTGCACGATCACCACGACGGGCAAGGATAGAGTCCACACGCGGACCTGATGACTATCGTTCACTGTGGTGGTCGCATAAAAGAAGAGGGCAAACTTCTCGTCCATGACGCTCTCAGTGCCTTTCTTTTCAGCTCGCTTGATCTTCTTCAGCTGCATATTACGGAAGCTGGCCGAGAAAACGTGGTTGCTCTGCTGATACTCCATGGTGCTGGAGCAGTTCTGTATTTCGCCCGACGACTGTCCTGCCAAGCTGTTGTCCAACTGGGCGCCGCGAGTCACGAACCGATGCGCTTGATTTTCTGAGGACATAAAGTAAGTTAGACCTGTGGTATCGAAACTCGATGCTTTTTAATACAAACCTGACATAATTATACACTCAACAGTGGGAGGATTGTTGTGAATACCCAGTGTGGATCCGATGAGCCAGCGCACTGAGGCTGCAAAGCGTGTGTTTGTCTTCATCACCTGTGGCGGCTGCTTGTCCACGATGAAAGCGGAGCAGACCAGATTCTTCTGCGAGAGCTGGATCTGTTCGTGAAGGTGTGTCAACTCCGGCTCATCGCTGACCAGGCGGACACGCATTATCTCCTTAATGGCGGCCAGCAGATGGGCAATAAATGTCTCCAGCATCTCGAAGCAGCGCTGAATATCGTCGAGGGCTCCCTCATTGAACGGAGCCCCGTTACCGGCAAGAGCCTGCTGGCGGCGCCAGTTCTTAAGCTCATGGAAGACCATCTCGTACAGCGATTCGTAGTACATAAAGCTGCGACGTACTGTGATCACGATGGCCGCCTTCTCCTCGATCAGACACTTGAAGGCCGCCTCAGCATTGGGCGACGCTGTAGAGTTCAACATGTAGCTGTAGTTTTGGACGAGCAGCTTCAGGGCATTGCCGCAGGCGCCGAACTCGTTAAGGGTCTGCATAATCTGGTGCTGGACGTCGTACAACTCAACCTTGGGTGCAGCCATTCCTAAAGCAGGCGAAGCTATGCCTGGATTCTGGACAGTGCACGGCATGACACTCATATTTTGGACTGGATTGCAACTGTTGGTGACTCCCAAGATCTCATTGGTGTCCATGTAGCCGCCTGTGGCCATAGCGGCGGCGTTCATGTTATACGAATTAAGCGGCATAGATTGACCTGCTGTGGATGCCACGCTCTTTTCGGTGGCCAGCTGCAGTTCTTTTTGGAGGCCGGTACGCAGATGCGTATATAGCTCGACGGCGGAGGTGCGTTGAATGAGGGCGCAGAGCTCCACCACACGGTATTTGAGTGCTTGATCGCTGGCGGTGCGTGTGGAGAGAAGCTTCTGTTGCAGATCTTCGTGAAACTTGAGTGCCACACGCTCTAGCTGATCCGTGGAGTTGGGTGTGATCTGTTCCGACCTGCGTGGGGATAAAAAAGAGAAGGTAAGTTAATTACATCTTGTTTTAGTGAGTCAGGCGACCGGCTTAATTTATTTCTTTTGCTTTTCAGTACACTTCCAGTACCCCATTTATGCCCAGCACTTGCCGCCCTCTACTCACATTATCCTGTCTTCGATCCAGGGCGCCAAGCAGATGCGCAGGTCAAACAGACCCTTCTCATCGTAGTGGGCCGCCATACGCTGCTCGCAGTCGGCATGGCTGGAGATGCGCTTCCACAGGCTCATGCTCTTGCTCTACCCGGATGGATGATGATGGTATGGTGAGTGTTGATGCTTAGCTTAGGGGCAGCTGAATGCTAAATGGGTGTGGTGGTGATCAGTGCAACTGTCTTGGGACTTGGTTTTTTGCTGGTGCGGTTTCTGATTTAGTTTCAGTTTCTGTCTTATGACAGGCTCTTGACCCGGTCAAGCTCCGGCTGGCTTCCGCAGGCAGTCAAGTCTAAGGCGTCCATAAAATGCACTGGCATACATGCAACCGATATCGTGTTTGTCTGATTTTGTTTTGTTTTTTTTTAGTATTGTTAGGAGGGAACTATAAATACACAAGCATATGTTGATATGGGGGTAAGTGCAATGTTTCTGGCATGATGGTAAACAACACAATATGTATGGATGTGATGACGTACATATATGGTTTCGATGGGTGTCGAAAGCGATATCAACAATTTTTGCAAATACATTATATGCATAAAGAGAGTCTATTGTTGCAACTGGGTTTGGGGTCTCCCCATGATCAAATAACCAAACAGAAACAATGTTTGTTTAGAACCGAAAGTCAATACGAGTCCATGATACATAATTTTTAACAGGCAATTTATAACTATTACACATCGTAAATAACTAATATTTATTGATATTGTATAGAAAGTTTACCACAACTAAAGGTTTTCCCGAAAAGCAAAATGTTTTTATTTCTATATGTTAACTAACCACAGAGAATACCTTCAATTTGGTTAATGGAAAACCATAATTAGGTAGAAATACCAGAGATGGAAATAGATTCCCCCAGCCGTATCGTGAGGTCATAGAACATGGCTTAATGAGAGCTGAATGAATGCGTCGTCCAGGCTTTGGCTTTAGCCTTTAATTACCATAACAAAAAATTATTGCAAATGGCAAACACACACACAAATAAATACACACAGAAAGAAAAACAAGCTAGCACGCAGGTGAGAAAGTAAACAAAACGAAACACACACACAGCCAGAGAGCAGCAGAAGCAAACGCGTGAGGTGAATTCGAGACGCTCGGAACAACAGGTGTGAAAATTAATTGCACCGCCGGACGGGCAAGTCCGATCCATGGGGAATTTGACTCTTTATAGCCATGCTAAATAGCGCTGATAAGGCAGCACTATGGCAGCACAGGCCGAGCCCTTCTTCTCCTGCCCCCGGTCAGGGTTCTCCTCTGGCTCTGGTCCCGGACTGGTCCGCGACTGGCGACATTTGTTTGTCGTCGAAACGTGACCGTAAATGAGCGGTTACCCAGACGCAGACGCAGATCCAGACCCAGACCCAAACCGAGACTGAGACCAAGACCGAGAACCAAGAACCTGAACTGAACCCGAATCCGAATCCGAGCCCGAACCGAAGCATGTTTGCTTTTGTGGTCGATACGCTAATTTCTGTAGTTACCCGGAAAAAAGGCCAGCGCAACGCTCACGTAGCAAATATGAATGGGCCGAGGCAACGCAGAGGAGAAGTTGGAACCAACTTGGAAGCGGTGGTGGTAAACAAGGTAAACCAGTCCAGGCCAGGCCAGGCAGCAGCCAACTTAGATAAGGATCTAATGGCCGATGAAGAAACAGACCCTCGAAAATGCAGCCCAGGCAAAAGGGACAAGTCCGCAGCAGGAGAAACAAAGGTTGCTCGATGATGCAAGCAGAACAGGTCGTCGGCGATACCTGCCCCCAAAAAGGAACCCGAAATCGGATGTGCGGCTCACTGGGTATCAGCGAGTCGGGGAGTCATCAGGTTAGGTAGATGAAAATGAAAAGATCAGGGAAGGTTTACTAGTGCTCCACTCTCGGGCAGGTTTCTTTCTATTCATGAGTTGCTTTTGCTGTTGCTGTTGCTATTGCCTCTACCCTTCGGCGCTTCTTGAGCCAAAGTAAAGTAGTTCAAGGTTCTGGTCTGGTTTGGTTTTGGTTTTGGTTTTGGATTAGGCTGCCTCTAATGTGCCAAGTCAGACAGACGGAAGCAATCTGGTCAAGTTGGCAGAAAGTTTTTCTTTTGCGGCCTTAGTAGGAGTAGTACTTTTCCGCTTGTTATCAGCTTGAAAAGCTGCAAAATGAAAAAAGAAACACAGCTGCATCCGAGGTGAGTCACCCACCAGGGTTATCAATGCATAGCATAGGAGGATTGCTTGTCAACAAAAAGAATCGGATCGATTCCCCTGACTTTAAGCTGAATTCACATTGATCCGCATCAGTTTTGATCCCAGTTGGGTTATCGGAGAAGAGCAGAAGCTGTCAGGTGAAGCAATCAAGCAGACTGTTTACAAACAAACTCTGATCGCAGCAGCAACAATATAAAATCTGTGACATCGTGGGTATCGCTTTCAAAACAAAACAATAACAAATCACAGAAAAAAACAAACAATTAAAATTTATATTTAAATAATGGCAATGGTTAAACGGGTAGAGACGTTACCGATCGATTGAAGGAACTAAACTGAAGGCTTTGCCAATTTAATTTCTGGCTTTTATACCGCCCACCTTCGCGACACATTGATAAGGCCGAAACGTGAATGGCAAAGTAGTAGAATCATATGAAAATTACGCTGAAGTAGTTAGAATAATCTGGGTTTGTTGGAAATTCGCCATATTCCATATATTTACCATGTTCCGATAAGACGATGACCAAAAGGCATCGATGAATCAATTGCCATGAAAGATTGCGTATGGATTAAGTGGAAAACTCATAGCACTTTATCAGGACAATTTACAAACTTTAAATAGCGCCTTTTTAGTGATTCGAGGAAAAGCTACTAAAGGAGGAGCATTTGCTTAGTTACGTAGAGAAAAATGTGTTCTGCTCATAAACTCATAATATTATACTATTATGAAATTCGGCTAATGGTATTATTATGCAAATTTGGCAAAATGACTCTTTGAGGGTCGTATAATTGGGTAACGCAGGCGTATATTATCAGCGAAAATAATAGACCGCAGGCCATAATTAAAGTTACCAAAAAATGCATGGATGGATGGTCTGGATGGCGCCCTGGCTGCCCTTCCTCTGAGACCGAGGAAATCCCACCGGTACTCCATATCGCAGCACCAGCTGTGGACGACGCGTGTCGTCGTCATTGGGGACTTATTATATGTACATATATGGACATTGCCTGGCACCTACTATTGCACTAAGAACGAACCCTTAAACTAGTTCTAAACAAAGCTCTTTCCGTAGCTATTTTATGATAAAAGTCTGAACCCTACACAAGGGAAGGAACCATCTATAGTACACTTTTTAAAAAGACATAAATCAGAACAAAGCTGATACCAAACTAAAAACTTTATGTAGATCGCTTGGCTTGTTGTTCTGTTGCCCCAAAACAAATCAAGTTTTGGTTCAGCTATCCGCACGAGCAACAACAGAGAGCTTAATGAATGCAAAACAAAATCCAAAACCCATAAAGGCAGATGCTATAAAAAAATATATGTTGTGAGGCCTTTTTTAGTTTCAGCATGGATGCTAAAAGCGTTAAATATCTTCAACCAAAGACACACAGCAAAAAGTATAACAACTCAGAAAGGTTTCAGAGAGAATAAAGTTGCATTTAAAATTAGATTTTAGTGAAAAGCATTAAGAACTTTCTCAACTATTTTCATATCATTATTATAATGAAACAAAAACCACTCACATCTTGTTTTAATGCTTGCAAAAGTTAGCAAAAACACGCATTTTATAGTAAGTTAAATTCGCCGAAATAGTTGTTAGATAAAACCACGAAAAATAGGTCAACCGAAAATGATTTCAAATTATGAATTACAAAAGAAGCCGTTTTTTTATAACAAAAAAAGCATCTTTTGCATCGATTTTATGCCATGAATGAAGTAAAGATACAAAGATATTTTTTTCCGGATTTATGTTTACCGCAAAAAGCCCCCGATAACCGGTGGTTATCCATTTCCCCTCGCTACCATTTTTACCCAGGCACATTAGCGATTTATAGCGCAACCAACGAGGGTTGGAGTCCGCAAATATATTTATGTACTTAGTTGCAAACGCACACGGTAAATAGATAATGTTATTTATACCCCAGTTGTAAATGTTCACACACATGTCCAATCAAATGGGGGGGCGGTCAGAAGGGCTAATTCGCCACTGACCGGCCTCAGAGGGTTAAAAACGTGTATACGGCAAAGCACGTCACACAAAACACAAATGTGTAACGAAGCTTTTATTTTTTCTCATTTCTTTTTAAATGTATATATGTATACATATAAATACATTTCGATCTCGCGTCGGCGAAAATGTTTTCAGTTGCAAAACTTGAATTTGCATTGACGTCTTGCTTTGGGGCGAGCGTTCGGAGAATCTGCGATTATACCAAAAACCTTATATCGTAGTATTCTCAGTGTCAAAAAGGGGCAACAAATTGCATTCTTTGTCGCCGGAAATAGGAAAACTATTAACCATTATTTGTATTAAATATATTAGCTAATATTCTTGGAATAATCAGAAATGGAAAGTCAAGAGTTTAGCTAATACCTTGTCTCAGTCTAATCAGCGTATCAGTATGATCGAATTTTCCAATAAAGTGACGCTCAACCGGCAACCTTGAAGTGCAATGAAAGTGGTTTGGAAAAGCGAACTGGTTGGGTGGCTTTTGTCCATCCGTTTGGGGCTGGCCGGAGGGGGCGGTGGTTGTATGTAAAGCAGATCCAAGAAAAATATAAGTCAATGGGGGGAAAAACCCGGAGCCCCTAGCAATCTGCATTGGCAATTGGGTGCCAATTGTTATGGCATACACACATGCTTGCTTGCCTATTGAACCGTTTGTTTGTCGGTATGTATCTGTATCTGAATCTGTATCGTTAGTTGTATCTATGTATCTTTGTATCTTTGTATCTGTGTGCACGAGCATCTGTATCTGTATCTCAACGAGCTTCGCTGCCGGCTGCCAGCTGCCCACACAGAAATTGTTTTTGCTGCCGCAAGCGGCAAACACAAAAAAGCTATAAAAAAAATCACAAGCAAACAAACAGAGAGACAGAGGAGCAGAGAGAAAGAAATCGAGGGGGAGAATAACAAAACAGGCGAATTGCACATTTTAGCCGTGTGATTAATGCTGAGCCAGAAAATAAAAGCCAAATAGGCGCGTCTTAGATAAGCGTTTGCCCCGATGACTCATGGCCGCCAAGAGGCTAAAAATCAGGCAGAACTTACAGTACCCATACGCCAAGGCACTTTGTTTATCTTTTCTATGTACGTAGTATATATATCCGGGATAAACAACAAATCTGCAGATACAACAGATTGAATATAATCCCCCAAGGTGGGTAATATACGAATTTTGGCGTATTGC